CTAAATTTGAACACGACACCACTATTGAAAAGCGTACCTACACGGATGGACGGATGGACAAAAATTAAAAGCTATATAAAAAATATCTGGGGATATTAACTAAGAGTTATTGCGAACACATCAGGCCAACGGGCGGACACAAGGGCGGACAACTATACCTACAAAACTATACAGGTTCTGAGGATCCTTACCCTTTAATTTCGACCTAGATGAAGTTCGAACCTGCAGTCTACGCAATGTATGATCCTTGTGTGTTTAGAAAATCATTAAATGCTTGTAAATTCTCCAACTTTCTCTTTAGACGTACACGTGTTTGTATGATGGAAGTAATATGTACTTAGAAAAGCACTTGATAGATAGTTAAGTGAAATGTATTACCAAAGCATATCTGGAGTGTTCATTAAATGATGTCATACACGTATTGATCTTGGTGTTCTATTTCCAGTTTCAAGTGGAACACATGTGGATAAAATTAATAATAGAGTTGCAATAAAGTATAAGGTACCTATGCCACTATAACAGATTATGAAAGACATCATCCGAATTTATTTCCTAAAAACAAGTTTTTACTTATACATGTCGTTGTATAATGTTAACCAAACTGTCACGATATCATTAAAATACCAAGTTTTACGGTCAATCCCACGTATTTGTGAAACATGCCTACATGTCATGCATAATACTAGTAGGTACCTACTTACTCCCATGTATTGAATTCATTTCTATATATAAGTCATTGAGGAAGAACACATCTGTAATATACCATCACAAACGCTAGGCAAGTGTGGATTTTGCAAAACAGTTATTAGATTTAAGCTATTTAATACAAAAAACCGAAAGCTCTACGCTATCGACGAGTTCTAGATCAATTTATAAAAAGCCTCCATATAAGACTACCAACTTAGGTACTTTTGAGAATCAAAATCGTGCACAAATCTAATTATATATATACTTTTATTTAATGTAAAACATGCGTATTTTTCCAAAAGAACAAAGTAATTTGCGGTAACAATATACTAAGTGCCAAGTAAGTTGATGATTATGATAACCAAGCGTTCAAAGTAAAACAAGAAACGGACAGTTATTTGCCACCATGCCATGTCGTGCTAAACCTACTAACTCATAAAAAAATGGGCAGTCCTTGACTGTTGTCTCTTAGCCAACGTTTCTAACACGTTTCGGAAGTGTAACGACGCTAGTGACCATTCTGTAGATATATACCTATCCTAACTCATCGAATAATTACCGACGAAATATAATCTAAAGAAACGAAAAAATGATTTTGGACAGTATTACATTATCACACACAAGGGAAACCAAATTCGCGGTTTTGCAATGCCACATTTCCTTAAATGGGTCACACAGTACGTATTGGTAATGACGGACATCTTATAGCACATGAATCGGTGGTTTCCAAAGACGTTGCAACACAAATTGATTTCCACAGCGCAACGCATCTCAATTTGAAGGAAACTGGTTTATTGTTATGGCAAAGAAAAGGGTACCTACCTAAACTAAAAATCCAGAACGATTAATGATCTGAGAGTATATACCTATATCATTAGGGGACCCATATATCATACTCATTACTTATTCATTTTCTATTATAACTGCTACTTTGTATATGAAAATGGTGTGCAGTTATTAGCCCATAATCTCGTCGTAAAATTAATATAAAAAAAGCTTTTCACAGTTTCTTAACTTAGATGCCTACGTATCTGATATCCAATAATGCATTGACATAACTTTATAGCAAGAAGTGATTTGTGGTTCTAATTATATAAAGCGATAAATTACTTAATTAACGTTCACAATGTGAACTGAACTCGTTAATTCCAGTTTCGCCATTTAACTTTGCAGACAACCGTTCAGTTCAGTTTGATAATTTTTCACCTCTCTAATTAACATTGTAATCGAGTTCTCAATTTGGCATCAATTACCCTTTTCAGGGCATCAGACACTTATTTCCGAATTAAAACAATTCATATAAACCGTACAAGTAAAAGACATCAGCAGAATTTTCATCCGGTACCGGAAGATTTACCAAATTCAGTGCACCGACTTCAATTCACCGAATTCTTCTTGGTGAAATAAAAATTCACCGAGCCTCCCATTGATCGATCAGTAAACATTTAAAATTGTCAGATGTTCTTTTAGCAACTTTGTAAAAATTCATAAAAAGACAAGACAAAGACATATTGTAATGGCATCATAATTCCATTTGCATTCCTCTGTTAATCAATTATTTTCCAATGGTAATCCTAATCTCTCTATTTTACCCATGCCAATGCCATTAATTATTTATTATAACTCCTTATAAAAAAAGTATGCACTAAGGTCAATTGAGTCCCCCCACCCCTATCTTAAAGAAATTTTTTATTAACAAATTGACATTGATCTTTGTGCAAATATTTTGCTAGGAATGTGACACTTTAGTTTGTTGACAGTAGAAAAAGAAAACCAACACAAAGACCGAGGCAAATTCGTATAGAGCTGATATAGAGCTACATCAAGGAATTTGAGTTCGGGCAGGCTGGCAGACATATAAATTCGAACGGGTCAAAACTCTCAGTAGGTATATGATGGTGCGTTAAGATGGCGTTTACATTGAGAAAGTGGAAATTTGTTTCCACAATAACTTCCTTCTGGGTAGGTAGAGTTTTGGTTGAAATAACATCCATTCAAATATATAATGTTCCGACATTTGCATGAAACAAAAATTATTTAGCTAATTTCTGTACTTTCGCCGTTATTTAGGAAAAAAGTTCTTAAAAAACGCCCATTTTTATCACACACTAATAATAATTTGTTATCAAATTTAACTTCATTCACAAGCTTAAACCTTTAGCAACCAATCGGTCGTTAACAGAAGTTAATTTTTTTACCTCGAAACAAAGTTGTTGAGGAAATCGCAAGGCAGCTTTTGCACTTTTTGTAAACGCCATCTTAAGGATTTCGTTAGATTTATTCCTTTGAAACAATCACGTCTTGTATTATCTATATGATGTTTCCATGTAAGGCGATTATTTGATGATATTCCTAAAAAGTTTGCCTTCACATTATAGTGTCTTCTCTTACTACTCTCATGACAGTAAATCGGTCAATTGAAGTTCGGTGAGTTTTTGTTTTAATGATGTGACATTTCGAAGAATTGTACCTAATTCGACAAGAGGATTTCGGTGAATTGATTGACGTGAATTAAATTCGATGAACTTCCCGTGATCAATTTTTATCTTCACCAAGTCTTAAATCTAACTGAACCGTGAAGCAATTTGAACAAAATATTTCTGTGAATACAGAAGAGGCCTATCCAAGCAACGCATTTCGCTGCGTTTTTGCCAAAACAAACAAGTTAAAAACGTATGGTCACTCGCGATCGACACCGAAAGCGCATTTTCCCTGCACAGAATCAGTAATAACTCGGAAAGGACTAATCCACAAAATCTTTTGTCGTTCTGGTCTCGGGGCTGTGCTACGCCGTAGAAGAAAGAAGCCACAACCAAAAAGTTTAAACTGGAGGACTAGTAGTTGTACAGACGGATAACAAAGTGCTGACGGAAGTAACTTCATTTTTCTTTTGGAGAATGGGCTAAAAAAAGTGAGCAAAAAGGACAATTTTTTCCTCCTGTCTACCACAGAGCTTCCAGCATTTTTTACCCACAGATAGACAGAAGCACCTAACGCTTCAAAAATTTACTTATGTACCCCCAAATTAACACGCCCTTCGCAACCCAATGCCTTGGAAGTAATTAGAAGTAATAAGAAGCTACATGTGTGTAGGTATATTTTTGTCTGCAAAAACTAAAGCTATTTTGCCCCTTCTGAGAGTGCAGAGTAGGTATATACGTACCACATACACCTTTTTTATACTGTTTGTATGCAAACGAGTACATAAGTATAAACAAAAAAACAAGCTTTCTTTGAGTGGCACAAGATACACTCTTAGAAAATTGATTAAATAATCTACATTATACTTATAACATATACACATTATACTTATAGGAAATATTGATCTTTTTACATTTCAATCTGGGCGAATTTGATTTTATTAAATGACGTAAATGAAAATTAGGTATAGAAATGCATTATCAGTAATTTATGTTGATCTATAGATACATCCTTAAGTATATAGCAAAAAAAAACGTTTCCATGTGAGTGACCTAAAATGTCGGCCATTTAACTACATCCGAAGTCCTTGCATATCGCGTCCTATTCAAAGCAAAGGGTATATGGTATCAAAAAAATATAACCTTCGGAAATGAAAACCCTAGTCGTAAAATAAGGGTATAAGGCATACTGCGTGTTCAGCATAACAATACCTACATTTAGGTACGCTTTCGCTTCTCGCAAAATATCCTTTTACTTTTAGACATTTATAGTTCTTATCTTTCTGCGTCACAATAAATACATCAGCATTCATATATTAATCACACCCCTTCTTATAAAATATTATAGCAAACATTCATTTTATCCACATATTTACTCAGGCAAGACACGCTCAAGTACCTACATACAGTAAGGTTAAAAATATCGACTAATTGCCATATACCTACCTACCCACCTATTTCGACTTTAAGCGCTAAAAGGGGAGAAGCATTAAATTGTTTCGTATAACTATTAGGTATACTATAAATGTGAGACTGTAGCATAACTTAGCAATTATGCATAAATAAGTCAAAGGCAGTATAGTCGTAAAACCACCTTAAAAAAATTAAGTTAGTAATTTATGCGAATCCAATGATTAAGACTGAAACCCGTACAGAAGTAATAAACAAGTTTGAGATACAACATATATAGAGAGACCGAGAGAAATAAAAATATTTCCAGCAAAAACATTAGATAGCGAGTTAATGAAGCAGCCTGACGGATACGAGCTCTGGAACCAGAACCGCGCCTGATAAAACCGGCTGTATCATATAAATATGTCAACAAGAACTCCGCCTTGCTTTTCCAATTATGAGACGAGACCCCAAAAAAGAACAAAATGTAGACTCACTTACCTAAGATGGCTGAATGGGCAGATGTAAGATAAGTTATATGATGTCTTCTTTACTCCATGCTGGACGACTGCTTGTCCTAAAATAAAACAAAACCTTACGATTAATATTTTAGTTAGAAAATTTTGTTTGACAGTTTTTACATGTTATTGTAATTTTCCGACGCGCACATAAAATGCGAGATTATCTCAAATCTAAATTTAATGTGAGAGAATCCAGTAAGATTAAAAACAAGACGATCTCCATTAGTTTGTGACAAAAAACAGATTACGAGATTTTGTGGATGTTTTATTACATTTATAATTTATATCGTAAATGTGGTCATCGCATAATCTGATAGGACGTGCTACCACTCTTGTTCAACAAGATGCTTTTATCTCAACTTTTCCGGTAAACATAACTATCTTAAGAATTATCTCTACAAATTGCTCGTTTTCAAAACTATCTACATTATTTGTAGGGCCGTCAACGCAATATATAAAATTGATACAGAAAAAAACCCTCAAATTTTGACATTGTAAATTGCGCACGAATTTTTAGAGTGTTTCCACCAAAGAGTAACTCTCTAGTTTCACTACCTATATACATGCAATTACATCTATACCCGCCGAGATTGACAACCGGCGTTTAATTTCCTGATATTAACTAAGTATATTGTGAAAAAGTAATATATATAAAATAATAGAAAATTAAATTAATAACCATATCCATGGTTCGGAATCAATAGTATTTTAAACATAAGCAGTAGTACCTATTTTAGCATATTATTATAGGGTTTGGAGTTTCGTTTTATGCTGTAGGTATAGGTACGTTTATTAATGTGTTTTGAATATTTTGCCACATGCCTTTCACCAATCACTATAAAAGACGTAGGTACCTTTTTAATAATACACGGACCAATTTCGAGGGGTGTTTCTTGAACATGATACTTAGTTCGATATGTTGAATGATACAACTTTCTGACTTTGAAAAGCCTGATGTACCTACACTAAGGAAATTGTATATTCTTCCTCAAAGTCATTTTTTTGTTTAAACTTAATTATGAAGTTTTATGTTTAAGGAAATGTTTTAGCACATTTTTTTTATAAAATAAAAATAGTTATTTCTAACTATTGATCTATGCAGCTGCCCGTGTAGGAGACGGGATCATAGCACGGAATAACTATGGAATTTCATGTCACAATTTGTTATTATTTATTGAAACTAGGCGTATTCCGTGCTTTTGTTTTGAGCACCGTTATCTGAATCATGTTTTGTTGATGTACCTACTGTACAGGTGATTATGCATGTATATGGTTTATTAACTATTTATTTATGTATTCACATAAGTGTGCTGTCGGTGTGCATGGTTCAATTTAACTATTCCGTGAGGGAAGTACCTAATACAGTTCGATGCTTCGCTGTATCTGTTACTTTCTTACTTGTGGCCGACTGGCGGACAGTGCGTGTGAGGTGGCTCAACTGTTTCCGTGGAGTAAGTACCTAATATAATCCGATAGTTCTCTTTATCTGTTGCCTGCTCGTTTCGTCCGGATTGCAGGTTTTGACATCTTAGCAATACGAGAATTAAGGGTCATCTAATCAACATTTCTTCTATTTAAAATATGTTTTGCTTGGGCGATAATTGACTTCATTATGAATACTTGCTATATTGGCATTCTCACATGTACTTTTCGTATTAAATTAGTTAACTGAGGCTGGAGTAGAGCCACGCCATTTTGATGTTTTCCTTTATGCACATGCAACTTTCTCATTTGATCGTACGTGTGCTTTACTGTGTTTTTGTACTAAATTGATTTATCATAATTATGTTTTCCAGTTGCATTTATGATGTCTCAGGTGTTATGATTTTATAAATTTGTTTAACTGCACTTGATTCCGATTACACAACGTAGGAATTAAGCCGTGCCATCCATATCGAGCCGACTGCAACAGAGATTCAAGATGCCGCGAAATGTCTGTCCTTTCGACTGGCGCCTCTACTCGTAGTTTTTTTTACCAGAGTTGCCAACTGTAAGTACATGTAAGTCAACATTTTCAGTGACGGCTTGGGGGACCCCTGCGATCGTTACAGTATCCAAAATGATAAAGAGTTTGCTACCAATCTACATACCTACTTTAAATTGGTGGTCAGTTGCGTACTTCTGCATGATCAAAGGGAGCATTTTTTAATTGCACCCAGTGGTTTGCCTTACATATTCTTAAAGAGTACATTTTTTTTGACAACATAAAGAAAGTACATAATCAAATTTAATCACTATTTTTGAAAATGGAAACACTATTTTTCATGAGGTATTATTAAAGATTAATTTTAATATTCCAACATAAAACACATCATGAAACTAGTAAAATTATCTAATTAACAAACTTTTTTTCCTTAATCTGAGTTTTTCTATTTACAAAAGATGCCCCCTTTGACCATTCAAACTTTTTATAATTTTTGATGCTCTAAACAGCTTCTCTAAAGAAATGTTGTTTTCAAGATATACAGGGTATTATGAAATTCACGCCCACGGACAATAGGGCCTTAATTCTGAGATAAAACTGAATAGAAAACCCTATCCCAATTTTGCGATCCAACAAATACCTACTTTACTACGAATAAAAAATAAAAATTTATCGGGAAAAACAAATAAATACAATAATGTGAATAACTAATTCCAAACAATGATGAATCCACCAATATAATATTTAGAAAGAAACCTACGAGGTTGCAAAATAAACGAGAAAGAAGAAAAAAGACAATAAGCAACATTTATTCGAATATAGGAAAATATTTTGACCTGTTAATGGCATTAGGAGCTTGCAATAATAGCTCAGAACAAGCTGCATGTAAGACGGTTATACCCAGAATTACAAAAGTGCAAATCGCAATCTATTCAGGTTTCTCAGAATTTAAGCCTCCATTGTCCTAGGCGCAAATGGGCGCACCCTGTATTCAGTGTTTCAGACAAAATGTTCACGCTGTACATCTACTAACAGTGCCATAAAAAATTCATAAGAAGTTTACGAATAATCCAATATTAAAACCAATAACAAAATAGGTAGGTATACTTCCCCATTACCAAAACTTTTTTCACGGTAATCAAAATTGATTATCATTATCAAATAGGCGTCTAACAAAAGGCTTGACAGAGATTGAAATACATAGCTTTACTCAAACGTGCGCGTTTTATTAACCGCTGATCAATTGAACGAAAATTGTTCCTCGCAAGTGTTTTTTGTTGGTTTCAGAGGGCGTTACTGCCATTCTCAACTAGGAATTTTTTTACTTCTACAAACTCAGAATATAGCACATTTCAGAATAGAGGGTACGGTGTTTTCCACATGAAAATAAGGCATTCAAAATTTGGGAAAAAAATTCAACTGCAATTCTTGGAAACTTACACAGTTAAAATTTTACGAAATTTGCTGAGCACACTCTTCATGTTTGAATATATCAAATTGTTAAACAGCTAGCCCTTGATGCATACCATTTAAAAACAAGATTATTCACATGTTACTGACGAACTGGCTAAAGGCTACACATCACCTTTTTTTACACTTTTTTGTTAATTTTAAATGTCAATTTATTGAAAACTTAAAGCGTCAATATTTTCTAGGGTGGCTATAACGTACATCGATTGAAACGTCATACCCACAAACATAACCAACAGGTTATATCTATTCTCGAATGCCCTAAGTATAGTTTCTGAGAAAGTTCTTTACGCTTCTTGTAATGTTTTTTCTAACCGATTTGTAATATATTTCACGGCTGTAGTGTATAGTCATATAGGTACGCTTAAAAATTTACCTGCGATTAAATACCTAGTGATGTATAAGTTCCATTAAAATACTTAACCCATTGACCATATTTTAACTTATAATTCAATTCATACAGTTTTAAATAGGATGGGGAGAGTAGGCGATTATCGATGTTTTTAGCTACGCCGCCTTTATTTTTTTCGATTGTACTATTTCTTATCTAATAATTTTTATTTTCCTCTTATTAACACGGTCTATTAATTTGCGCGGATGATTATTATATATACAAAAGTGGCGGTTTAACCTAAATTGTCACCTGAAATTAACGAAGCGAAAAACATGTCCACGATAATTAGACACTACTGCAATAACTAATAAGCTTATTATGACGAAGTTGTTAAATATGTTTATACAACCTTCACGTTTTTAATGAGTGGATTATTAGGTATATATCAAAGTTGGGAGCTGTGTTTTGCTATAATACCATATTTCCTGTAGATTTCCCTAGATTATAGCATCGCAGGATACCACCGCCATGTCTAGATGCATCAGGACACATTAGAGCGGTGTTGATTTACGAGGGATGTAAAATGACGTAGCGGTTGCTGCCGTAAAACACACTCAGACCGACAGACGCCTCCAGCTCAAACATTGCGCGATGTAGATATTGCAGTAGCCGCAAAATAAAAATGTGCTTGGATTTCAAATTGTTTCAAATTCGATTGCGGTTCGTAAATGGAAGCACTTTGTAACCGATGTGCAGATAAATCTATATATAGATATGTATGTATAGGTATAGTTATTGATTTTGCTGGTTTCATATTAACTACGCACGATTCCAACCTTTAATACGATTGTATACCGTTGGACTATAGCGCAATGACAATACAAAAAATAGGTACCCACCTACCTAGGTATCTAAACATAGTATATAATTCGGAAATATAAGCAATACTGTTTGTACATAGTAACTGGAGTGATTTGTTTCTTGACACACCGATGCATAATTGGTGCAAAACGCAAAGATTAAGAAAAATTTTACACTTGACATGTTAGAAAATATTCAAAGCTAAATAAGGCTATAATGATAAATTAACAAGCACATTTCAACAATCATAGGAATGGAGTGTATACCCCACTGCTGCTCATATTAATATACCCACACAAAATATAAAATATTCAAGATATTACTATCTATATTAGGTAATACCACAAACTTAAAAAGACTGTGACAGTAAAGTTAATGATTGTTTTTTGTAGTCAAGATGTCCATGTAATAATTTATTTGCGAAAAGGCATTTTAAATAAATCCGCTCATAGAAGCTAGCTGCGATA